AAAATCACTAGTTTTGAAACATGTGACACCGAACAAATCACTAGTTTCGTTACGTTTCTCGAAAATGACGTAACGACTCACGCCTACAACAAACGTCAATTTTAATGAAGATAAGAAATTACAGATTGCTTTGAAATTTTCCATTATTCTTTATGGTTTTCGCTTATTGGAAATGTTTTAATGCAGACACTTTATTAAATTCTTATTACTGACTTGACTTTTTACAGCAATAGTAATAGTATGAATTATAATATTGGGCTTATAAATGATAATCTTTAAAGTTACTAAATAGTCAAAAATATTGAAGGGAGGGAGATGACTTTTTTGTTGTAATGTTTTATCATGTGAATATGGTAAAATTTAATTGTTAAGTTTAGCAGTTAACAGGTATAAAATCCTAATATTAAGACTTTTTTACCAAATAAAAGGTAGATAGACGAATGCAAATGTCATTATCTAATTTAACAAAAAGTTATCCTCTTGTCTATGATTCACATTTCATGAGTGTTCCGTCGTGTGCCGGTTTCCACTTTCTTCTGTTAAACGAATTCAATCTAGTTGTAAGTTAAGAAAAAAAATAATAACCAACCATGCTCGCGGAAACGACATTATCACTAATACAAATATTAGAAAAGACTATATCACCAGGTAAGCTAAAACATGTTTCCTTTCTATAGCATGGCGTTTCATTTTATTGTCAACGGACATTTCGCACGTAGCATGTAACCGCTTTTCATTCTGTACTCTGATTATTAAATTATCATACAACTGTTCTTAAAGTTAACAATTCAAATTACCAACACACCATGAAACATTATTATTAAAAAGATATTAGATTCGCTTCACTTTTTACTATGACATTTACTTCTGACAATTTCGAAAGAAATTTCTAGCGTATTTAAAACCTATTACAAATGTTGGAAAACACACTTTTCACGATAATGTGGATAATATTTATCTCTGCTATCAATATTAATAATATTCGCCCTAAATCTTATCTTTGTGTTGTCTTTGTTTCATTATGTTTTTGGTTATTACAATTTCAATTGTTTTTTAATGTCGTTAAAATATTTTATTCTGAACTATAAAGGCACTATGTGAATTTCAGATCGAAATGAATTGGAAGCTGCAGAGAAGTACCTTGACCATGCAGCGGTCACTAACTTCACCACTTTTATTAAGATGTTGTCAGATGTACTGGCACAAGGAGGGAATAGTCAGGTGGCGCGAATGGCTGCAGGACTTCAACTAAAAAACCATCTTACATCTAAAGACCCCATATTAAAGCAACAGTACCAACAGCGTTGGCTTCTGCAGCCAGAAGATATAAGATTATACATAAAGAAAAATGTAAATGTTGCAATTTTTTTTTAATATTTGATTAAATTTGATAAAAATCTTATTTTTTATTGTTTTTTGGTTAGATTTTAACAGCAATTGGAACAGAAAACAGCAGGCCTAGTTCAGCAGCTCAATGTGTTGCATATGTGGCAGTAGCAGAACTTCCAGTAGGCCAATGGAATGACCTCATTCCCATGCTAGTGGAAAATGTTGTCAATGCTCAATCTACAGAATTAAAAAAGGAAGCCACACTAGAAGCCATTGGTAAGTGTATTTAATGAGCTAATTTGCAAGAGAATTGCTTAGTTGTCCTTTGGTATAAAGCTAAACTTAAAAAAATAGTATTAGAGTGACTCATCTCACTGAATTTATGTTCTTATTGGAAAACCCTTTCTTATTGTAGATATTTTAATTGAAAATTTATCATCACTAAAGTACTAAAAAGTATCAAAGACTAGTTGAAGAATATTTATTCTTACTTATTTTCAAGATGATGCCTAATATATGAAATTTTTAATCTAATTTTCTAGGCTACATCTGTCAGGAAATAGATGCAGAAGTGTTGACGGAACAAAGTAACCCAATTCTAACAGCAATTATCCATGGCATGAGGTCCACTGAGACCAGCAACCATGTTAGGCTTGCAGCAACTCAGGCCCTCTTAAACTCGTTAGAATTTACTAAAGCTAATTTTGAAAAGGAAATTGAAAGAAATTTCATCATGGAAGTAGTCTGTGAAGCGACACAATCAAGTGATATGAGAATTAGTGTTGCAGCTTTACAATGTTTAGTAAGTATTGCATTTATTTTAGACTAGCTGTTCCCATGCGGCTTTATTTGCATGAATTTATGAAAATTTTATTTTATTGCTTACATTTGGCAAATTATCAATTGCAAATGTCAAATTGACATGACATTACAATGGCAATCTTGCTTCTTGATGTTGGCAGTTCATATAGTATGGTCTCTTTCCCACATTAGTGTTTCTATCCAATTTATTTACCCTCTTAGTTTAAAAGCATGAAAATACGTAG